TATATACAATAATCTACCATAATATCTTATACCTATCCATTCCACTTCTTCTTTTACCTTTTTTTTTTTGAGACACTTTTTCTTTTCTTAAGGAGAATACTGAGTTTAATATTTTCTTCCACCCCCAACCCTATAACCGCCATCCATAACCCTGAGAAATATGAAACCTTAGGGAGAAGGGCGTCATTTTCTTAGAATTGCTTCCTGCTTCCAGATGGTATCTCTGTTGGGTACTGTGAGAAAGCTCAGATAGTTAAATCTCAGTTAGACTAACTGTAGGTTCTGCAGCAAGTCTCAGAGTAATGGGTAAGATTGTCTGAAATTCTGGCAAGAAGTGTAGTATGATGATGATTACCATGGCATCATTCTGGATTGGGTAGAGTTGTTGTTGGGGCCCCATCTTCCTTCTGGAGACTTCAGAGATTGCTATTGGAAAAACTTATTTTTTATCAAAATGTAAAGTTTGGATTTAAAGAGGACATGACATGTAAGAAAGGATTCCGAGAAATCAAGAGTAAGCATGGAGAGAATTAGAATTTTTAAGACAATGGTCCCTTTTATTGGTTTCCTTCTGTCCCACACCAGAGGGCTCTTCTGATATGGGACTGAAGAATCTCTCAACCTTTTCTTTTAGCAATATGCTTGGGTTTAGAGAAGGAGTGAGCCAATTCCATCTCCAAAGCCAGCTTGGTTTATAATTGAATTGGAACCACAACTTTTCTAGATTGAAAGAAATATAGATGTTAGGCAGTGAGATTTTACCCTGTGTAGATTGGTACCAATAGATTCTTTCTTTCTGCTGTAGACATCTGGATATCCAAGGCCTTATGATTTCTGGAAGGTGGGTATTTCCATTATCCTGGAAAGACAAAAACAGAACCCTACCCCAACTTTGATTGTTAAATTTTTCTTACAACTTGTAGAGACGTCACATTGGTGGATGAGCTTCTTTTACTTCTGGGATTTGTCTCTCCTATCCAAGCCTTATTACTGTAGTTACGAGACTCAACACCATTAGTATACTGAATCCATTCTTCCAAAGGAGCTGATCTGACCTTTAATGGTGTAAGTATTCTTTTGCATTCTGCATTAGCATTGTTGAACGCCAAGGACTCAGTTAATAGTTTTTTTAATTCTTTATCTGACACAGCTTTTGTTATAGCTATGTTCAGCCTTTGTAAAAAATCAGTGAAGGGTTCGTGCGGTCCCTGAAATATCTTTGTGAATACCTCAGTTGGCTTTCCTGGTGTTGGAATTTTTTCCCAAGCATTTAGAGCTGCTGTACGGCATAGGGATATTGTATGCTCATCATAAGTGGCTTGTACATTCCTGTCAGCGAAACGTCCCTCACCCAATATTTGATCTTGGGAGATCACGAAACCTCTGAGTTTACCTTGTTGTTCTAAAATTTTTGCCTCTTCTCTCAACCAGCTTTTCCACTGTAGCTGCTGGCTATATTCTAGAACAGCTGAAATTAGCTGATGCCAGTCATCTGGAATGATTCTATGTGAGGTAGACCACGAATTTAACATCTGTGTTACGTATGTGGAGTGTATCCCATATGTAACTATCGCTTCCTTTATATTTTTAAAGTCCCTTGTTGAAATTGGTTGTAATGTATATGTCATACATGGCTCAGGGTGTGTATCATCTGTTGGCTTCTCATGGATGATGACAGGATAAGGCATTGTATGAGAGCCATTTGGAGATGTTACAACCTCTATGGTCTTTCCCTTCTGCTTATTAGGTCCCTTGTCATGTTTCCTGAGAGTTTCTTCCAGGGCTTGCAGACGAGCACCTAGGGTCTGTGCTAGGGAGTGAACCTCCTCTCTTGCAAGGGATTCCAGATTTCTCATGGAATCATGGAAGTTTTTATGTTCTTTTGAAACACATGATTCCATAGACCTTATCTTATCAGTTAATGATAATCTTTCTTCCTTATATAGTGTCTGAGTAGCCACAACTTCACTCTGGAGAGTTAGTATTCTATCCATTAAATATTCATATTTATTATCAATAAAATCAATTTTGGATACAAGCCTGTTTTGTAAATCCTGGTTAGCAGATTCCAGAGAGAGAATCTTTTTATGTAAGTCTTCATTGCTACTTTTTAAAGCCTGTAAATCCTGGTTAGTAGATTCCAGAGAGAGAATCTTTTTATGTAAGCCTTCATTGCTATCTTTCAAAGCCTGTATCAGTCCCAATAATGACTCATCTTTGTTCTTGTTATTAAAGCAGTGTTTGAACACTGTGTGAATTATTATGATGAATGCCAAAATGGTACAGGCCAGATATGCCTTAGGAAGGTCGTATATTTCCAGGAAAATGTCACTCATCATACAGGCAAAAAGGTTTTTAAATTCTTGTGAGGTAATGTTGTCAGCCATATTACAAGAATTACTCAAAATTTGTTAGTCAATTTTAAAGTGTAAAATTACCAAGTACTTTTACTTGGTAAGACACTGGTTTGCCTATCTTACCTTTCAGTGGTTTTGGGGGTGTAGTAGTGCTTTTAAGCCAGCAGGAGGCGTTGGTATAGCTCCAAAGCAGGTCTTGTTGAATACCTTGGCTGGCGGCAGAGTGAGCCCAGACAGGAGGTGGCCGTAGGCAGTTCTTCCTGGGACTCCCTGGAGCTTCAGGGCATGGAGAGTTCCAGGCCGACAGGAGGTCTGCCAGCAGGCACGGCTCCAAGCCCTCTCTGTGCCTCTGTAGGGTGCCACCGCCGCTGCGGACAGTGCCTTGTCTATTTTAACTCGGTGAAACTGTGGAAGCCTCAGGCTAGGGCAGGGAGCCGGCACTCAGGGAGGAGGGGGAATGCCTCACTCAGCGGTTTCGCTGGGCTGGGGGCTGGGGGCAAAACTTGCGGAAAGAGCGGATTAGCTCCTTTTCAGGAATGGAAGCCTGTAGGTTTTTCCTGGTTTTAAGGAGCTCTGCAGGCGGTACCCTGCAGCTTCAAGTGCCCGCCAGCCAGGGAGGAAGCTGAGGGCGGGAGCCACCCAGGCCTTTGGAATTTGCCCCACGTGAGCGCCAGATATTGGTGAAACTATTAAGGCCACTCCACGTAGTTAAAAGGGAGGTTTATTTTGTGGAGTAACTTACAAGTGAAGGGATAGTTTACAGGGTCTGGGAAAGGCGTGGTGCAGTCCGGCGGTGTTCTCTGGAGAACTCTGCTCAGTCTACCTCCAGCGTCCAGGGTCCAGGAAACAAGAGAGCCTGCACATCCAGATCTCGGGTCTTCAGGGCGCCTCCCTTGGCCCCGCCTTGTAGGCGTGACAGTTACCGAAGCCTCAATGGGGGTTGGAACTTCCAGATCAAAGCTGGAATGGCTACCCACTACAAATCTGGCACCCTCACACAGACATACATGCAGCCAAAACACCAATGCACATAAAATAAAGACAAATCATTTGGGGTTGGGGATTTAGCTCAGTGGTAGAGTGCTTGCCTAGCAAGTGCAAGGCCCTGGGTTCTGTCCTCAGCTCCGAATTTAAAAAAAAAAAAAAAAAATCTTATTTACTTTTTTAAAAGACTATATTATGTGTTTTCGGTCAGTCTTGCCATTTACCTTTGCATCTGTAAGGGCAAGTGTCATTCTTGCAGTAAAGGAGCTACCGAGAAGTTTAATGGATGACGGGCCAACAAGCTGGCTCAACAGTAAAAGCACTTCTCATGATCCCTGGAATCCACGAGGTAAAGGAGAACTCCTCTGGTCTCTACATGTGTACATGCACTCACCTGGGAACACACACACACGTGTGTGTGTGTGTGTGTGCGCGCGTGCGCGCACACACACTTAATAAACAGTGAATCTATAGTGTTGGATTCTTCCTGTCTGCAATATGTTGCCTTTCTTTCCTTGTAACCGTCAGTTATTTTAGGTGCCACAGCAGAGGGCAGATTCACCATGTCAGAGGGCAAACCTGGGAGCACAATGTGATGACAGGAGCACAGTGAGTTTCTCCTGGGGGTGATGATGAAACACCATGACCAAAAGCAAGTTGGAGAGGAAACAGTTTATTTCGCTCACACTTCTGTATTGTAGTCCATAATTGAAGGAAGCCAGGGCAGGAACCTGGAGGAGCTGATGCAGAGTCCATGGAGGAGTGCTGCTTACTGGCTTGCTCATCGTGGCTTGCTCAGCTGCTTTCTTATAGAACCCAGGACCACCAGCCCAGGGATGGCTCCACCCACAATGGGCTGAAGCTTCCTCCACCAATCACTAATTAAGAAAATGTCCTATAGCTGAATCTTATGGGGGCTTTTTCTCAGTTGAGGCTCCCTCCTTTCAGATGACTCTAGCTTGTGTCAAGTTGACATCAGCCACCACTGTATCTGATCACCATGATGGGGGTCAGGATGATGGGTACATGATGACTTTATAGTCATCTGATGACAAAAACATCTCACCTCCTTTCCTCTGTACTGGCTATATTTAATAATGAAAAGTAACTGTTTAAAGCCCAACACCCAATGAAACATCTGTAAAGGAAATTGAGAAAACTGGACCAAGGAATGGCTCAGTGGGTGTATGTGCTTGTCACCAAGTACAATGGCCTGAATTTGCCTTGGGGACCCATGTGGTGAAAGGAGATCTGACTCCCACAGTTTGTCCTCTGACCTCTACATGTGTGCTATTATTGCATGCACCCCCCCCATAAATGTTAAAGAAAAAAAACTGACAAAACTCTAGCATCAAAGAACAAAATGCTTAGGAATAAACAATCAAAAAGGAGAAAATGTAATACACTGAAAACTTTACATTTTTGCTGTGATTAGACACCAATAAATGAAAAGTATCTTGTGGCCTGGAGGAGTTCATCATGTTCAGATGTCAGTGCATCCAGGTGCCCCAGAGGTTAAATGCATTTCCTATTCAAATGCCAATAGCACTTTTTTTTTTTTTTAAGAAATGGGGGGGAACCCATCCTGAAATACAGACTCTCAAAGAATTCCATATACCCAAAATAATAATCTTGAAAAAGAACAAAGATGGACTCATCTTCTGATTTCAAATTTTATTATAATATTCCAGTAGTCAAGAGTGGCATTGGCGTGAAGACAGAAGCCAAAAGAGAGACTGGGGCTTAGAAACAGCCCTACCGTATATGGCAGGATGTTTTCCCACCAAGGGCAATGTGGAAAGCTAGATTATCTACATTCAAAGAACGGAAAGTCAAACCCTTAATTTACATCACACACAAAGATGAACTCAAAGTCAATCAAAAGGCAAAGCTAAAAGCTACAACTAAAACCCCCAAAGCAAGCTCTATATAATTAGCTCCACTGGGTCGGGTAGTACTTTTGTGGATATGACTACCAAAAACTCAACCAGGGTCAACAACCCACTATTAATAGGCAAAGGATCTAAAAAGATTTCTTCAAGCAATATATAAAGGCCGACAAGCATATAAAACAGGTAACTTCATTAATAAGGGAAATGCCAAACAGAGCCACTGATAGACTTCCCACACATTAGAATGGCCACTAAAAAAGAATAGGAACTAAACTGACAAGGCCATGGGACAGTTATAATAATCCTCATGTGCTACTGAGAGGAATATAAAATAGTGTGGCTGCTACAGAAAGTATATCAGTGCCTCAAAATCAAAATAGAATTACTGTACCACACAGACTGCTGGGTATACACTAAAACTGAAAGTGGGGTCCCAGGGATATCTATATACATGTTCACAGCAATAGTCAGGAGCTCAAAGGTGGAAACCACCGAGGTATCCACAGCTGAGTAAATAGATAACAAGGTAAAGGACACACATGCACTAGAATACTATTTGGCTTTACAAAGGAAATACATGATACATAATAGCTGAACCTTGACGGTATTTTGCTACATGAAATAAGTCAGTCCCATCCCATCCCTGAAAAAAAACCCCACATGTTAAGATTGCATCCATACCAGGCACTTAGGGTACTCACATTCAGAAACAGGAAACAATGGTGATTACTATAGAGCGAGCATGCCAAGGGTAGGGTAGGGAGGGACGACCTGACAGTGGCTGGAAGTTACTTGATGTACACTTTACATCTTGTGAGGTGAATGAAGGTGAATTCTGCTGCAGACTAACGGCACTGAAGTGTGAATGCACTCCACACTACTGACCTATATATATACTCTAAGATGCTAAGTTTTGTTATTTATAATAGTAATTTGAAATATAGCTCAAATAAAAGTGTATAAAATTATTTTGAAAGCAAGCACAGGCCTACAGGTAAGAGGTAAAATTATAAAACTCTTCAATGAAGATAAAGGACTAAGTTTCTGTAAGTTTGGGTTAGGAATGGTTTCTTAGAGCACACTGAAAGAAAAAAAAATGTAATTTACCCCAATTAAAACTATTCTTCAAACCAAGCATGGTGGCTTGTGCCTGTCAACTCAGCATTTGGGAAGTGAAGCAGTCAAACTGCTTGCTCCAAGTTCAAGGCTTCATTCAACTTCATAAGTTCCAGGCCAGCCTGGGCTAAGACCCAGTCTCAAAAACACATAAAGGCAACACATAAAAATAAAAAGTGTGCTTCAAAGAGTATCAAAAGATTGGAAAAGAGAAACCACAAGTTGAGAAAAAAAATAATGCCAATTATCTTTAAAGGACTTGTATCTACAATTAAAAAAACAAACAAACAAACAAAAAAAAACACTCTTACAGGGAAATGAAAAGATAACCCAATTGAAAGCCAAACTGGAGACTGAAATAAACATTTCTGCAAAGGCAACATACAGATGGCCAATGAACACATGAAACATGCTCAGATTAGACATTAGAGAAATGCAAACCAAGATCCCAATGAATGCCTCCCCATAACAGGCTGTCAGCAGTGTGAACAGTGGAACCCAGTTACTTTAAGAGTATGAAATGGTGGTAAAACCACTGTAGAAAATGATAAATCGAGGCTGTCATACAACCCTGCAATTCCACTCTAAGGCAAGTATTAAACGAAACGTGTTGAACTTTTTCACAGATGTTCATAGCATTAGTCCAAAGCCCTAAAGCAGAAACAGCTCAGAGCTCATTAGCTGATGCATGGATAAAGAAGCAAGGCCTATGTCTACTATGGAATACTATTTTAGCAGTGTTGAATTACAGACTGACGCTACATGAACAAACCTGTTAAACTTGGTAATGGAAGTCAGAAAGGACCACACCAAACAACTCCACTTATCTAACATGAAATAGACAGTCCCATAGAAACACACACACTACTGGCGGTTGAGGGCAGAAAGAAAAGAGGGAATGAGGACAGACTGTGAAAGTGTGAGTTTCTAGAACTGATGGAGATTCTGGAATTATAGTGGTGACTGCTGCATTCTCTATGAATACATTAATAATTGAAGGTTCAATTTTGTATCATGTGAATTTCTCCAAATAAAGCTATCTCTAAACAAAAAGGCTTTTATACAAACGTATTTCACAGTTTCTAATCAGGATTACTTTCAATTAAAATTGAAGCACTTGTGGGAAGTGTAGCTCAGTTGTAGAGCACTTGCCTAGCATGTAGAAGGCATGATCTCCACACTGCAGACACACACCAAGTTTGGTACATAGACAGCAGGACTAAAGGGAGCATCATTTCCCACTCCTATGGAGGGCAGTACATGGGGCAGGCCTCAGGAATATCCTGGGGCATCCTCACAGCTTCAGAACTTTTAAAACAGCAAGTGAACTACACAATCCCTGACTGCTTTAGCCCCAGTGAACTACGCGATGCTAGAGAAATAACAACTCTTTAATGCCAAAACTCAAACTGGAAATGTAGTTTCCTGATGGCTTTCTACTGTGTTAAGTGATCACAATAAATTATCATAACTCTAAACGGTCCAGCCACTTCCTGTCTTTGATACTTGCTATCTGGCGCGAACAGCTGTTGTTTCATTTGCTACAAACCCAGTGTTTAGGGATGAGGCCCATAACTCATCCAATGAAATTGTGAATGGAGTAGGTACAGTACATGAGACCAGTATCTAGCCAAGATTACAAAGGTTGGAGCAGAAGCTCCAGAAAAAAACCATAGTGCTTTAGTAGGGTGTGATCTGTGGGCCCACACTCTGTTTTGGGCCACACAGATCTTGAGGATGTGGACTTTGTCTGACATTAATTATCCCACTATGAGGAGAAGGCTGGATTAAATTGAAACCAAGAAACAACAGGTTCTGTGTTACTAATTGTGTTAGTCACATTATGGCCTCCTGGATGCACACACTGTGTAATCTGATTGAAGAGTCATCCTTGAACATAATCTTTCCATTAGGCAATTCCCATAACATTAAATTCTTAGCCCATACTTGTTCAATCAAATGTATCTTCTATAAATGACTTCACATGACAGAATCATTCAGAAACAGCATTTGTTCATTTTCTCTAGTGTTCTCTGGAGGGAAAACCTGGTTCAGATGTCAAGCAGATGCAGCAGCTACTCTGCTTCCTTTTAGGACCAGAGAAAATCCAGGGTGATTTTTCATCTTGCTTTTAACATGTTATCAATATCCTTTTCTTCCTCTGAATCTTGATCTGGTATCCAACTGAAAACAAGCATACATACGTTCAATCACATCTGGAATAATAATTTAATCAAACACAATTCTGGTAAGAGATGTCAGTAACTTTATGAAAGAAGCGAACTAGCTTCCAGAAAAATCAAAAATGTGACTGAGCATGAGGTTGATGCCTATAGCCAGCATTCGGATGGCCAAGGCAGAAAACCTGAGAGCTCAAGGCTAGCTGGGCTACCTAGTAAGACCTTGTACTAACAAAAGACAAAGTGCAAAGCCAGGGAGAAAATTAATGGAAGGGGCATTACAAACAAAAGAAGCCACAGTTCCTCCTACGGGCCAACAAAGACTTGCTCCTGTAAAATTGAAACTTCATTTACCTTTTTGTTTTAACTATACTCAATGAATGTTCTACCAAGCCTACCTTTGTAAACTCAAATGTACTTGAAATTTTTAAATAGCAACTGGAAACATTAATGACACAGGATTATGGTATTAAAAATCCTTGAGTTCCTTCCTCCTAGACTGACCCCAAGTTCTTTGACTTAAGCCTATCAATGGAGCCACTTCCTAAGGTCACAGGGAGAAAAGGGTCTGAAGTCAGTGTAAGGCAGAATTTCAAAGTCAATATAGCTGTTCAGAATTCCACAGGAAGGAATTATTTTGGAGATAGGCCCTATCAGTGAGTCCAACAGTAGAACAGACAGCCGTTTATTTGAGCACAGCATGAAGCAGCTGAGAGCCTTTTTTAAATATATAAATTATATATTTTTCTGTACTATGCATTGAAGTCAAGGCCTCACACATGCTAGGCCAGCACTCTATGACTGCACTACATCTCCAGCCCTCTTTTTATATACTTTTTGAGACAGGGTTTCACTAAGCTCTCCAGGCTGGCCCTGAATTCACTCTATAGCCCAACAAGGCCTTAAACTTACTCCTCCTACCTCAGTCTCTTCCAATAGCTGGTATCACAGTCCTGCACCTCTCAGCCTGATTGAGAGCTCTATTTTCCAAAAACAAATCAAACATGGTTTGATAACACTGGAATGGTTCAACCAACCCATCTTACTGACCCTGAGACTCATGCTCTGAAACAGTAAGAATTAACCACATGACTTAAATGCATGTTCCCAGCTTCTCGTGCCCAAATAGAGACACTCCATCAGCTAAGTGTGACATGATGCACTTTGGAAGACTCATAGTCACAGTCTTGGAGGAACAGTATGAGAACCACTGTCTGCTCCAGGTACAAACATGAGGGAAGGTCTGCCTTTTACTATCATCCATCAAGTCACTGACATTTTAAATTCAAAATTGTAGCTAGGTGTAGTGCTGCACACTTTTAATCCCAGCACTTGGAGGCAAAGGCGGGCAGATCTCTGTGAGGCCAGCCTGGTCTATAAAGTGAGTTCCAGGACAACCAGGGCTATGACACAGAGAAACCTTGTCTCGCAAAACAAAACAACGAACAAAAAAATTCAAAACTATTAAAATTACTCAGAAGAGGCCATGCCTGTCAGAAATCCAGTAGGCTGCCCACAGACCTTTTCAGCTCTTTCTGTGAGGCTAGACACCAGCGTAAGAACACAAAACAGCCAGGGCAATATGTCTCCCCTAGAGCCCAGCTATCCTAGCACAGCAGGCCCTAAATATTCCAGCATAGCTGAAGCACAGGGAAAAGACCTTAACACCAACTCTACGAAGACGACAGAGCCTGAAGAGGTGGCTCAGCAGTTAAGAGCACTGGCTGCTCTTCCAGAGGTCCTGAGTTCAATTCCCAGCAACTCAACCATCTGTAATGGGATCTGATGCCCTCTTCTGTCATACAGGCACACGTGCAGACAGAGCACTAATACCCAAAAAAAAGGAAAGATGACAGATGTCCTTAAAGAGGAAATGAATAAATCCCTTAAAGAAATCCAGGAAAACACAAATAATTGGAGGAAATGAATACATTCTTAAAATACAAACAGTTGAAGGAAATGAATAAAACTCTTCAAGACCTAAAAATGCAAATAGAAACAATAAAGAAAACACAAACTGAGGCAATTCTGGAAATGAAAAATTTAGGAATTTGAATAGAACTACAGAGGCGAGCTTCACCAACAGAATACCAGAGATGGAAGAGAGAATCTCCGGCATTGAAGCTACAAAAAAAAAAGAAATGGATACATTGGTCAAAGAAAATGTTAAATCTAAAAAATTCCTGACATAAAACATCCAGGAAATCTGGACACTGTGAAAAGACCAAACCTAGGAATAATAGGAATAGAGGAAGGAGAACAAACCCAGCTCAAAGGCCAAGAAAATATAGTCAACAAAACCATAGAAGAAAATTTTCCTAACCTAAAAGAAATGTCTATATAGGTACAAGAAGCATACATAACACCAAATAGATTGAACCAGGGGCTTTTTTGAATGGACTCACATTTATCACTGGATTCCAAACACTATTATCCAAACCATATCACTACAGCTAATTTACGATTATTAAAGCATTCACATTTAATTCTATACATAGTTAACAAAAAGCTTTCCAAAATTATTAATCACTTACCATTGATCTTTTACACTCAAAAAACGAATACTGCAAAGCTCTGCAGTATCCTTCCTTCAAACACTGCCGTGGGGATTTTCCTTCCTGTGACACACAAACCAATATGAGTATCTGGGAAATTGTCCCACAAAGCACAAGACAACTATTCTTCTGAAAGAAGCTCTTAAAAATACTTAATTTCTTTTTAATAACCTTGGTGAAGAAAAACAAATATAAAGATTATTAAATAATTGGGTACTGAGTCTCAGTTTTTAAATTTTATGTGTGTAAGTGTTTGCCTGCATGTACAAATGGGCACCACATGCAGACCTGGAACCATGGAGGCCAGAAGAGGGTACCAGATCCCATGGAACTGGAGTTTTATGTGATTATGCACCAATATACGGGTGCTAGGAACCAAACCCCGGTCCTCTGTAGGAGCAACAAGTGCTCTTAACCACTGAGCCATCTGTCTTTCCAGCCCCCAGAGTCTGAGACTTTTAGAACACATCATTAAGGTTTATATAAGCCTTCCTGTGGATGAGAACTATGAATTGGATGCCTTAAAATGAGACCCTTTCAGTACTGGCACTAAACAGTCCATAAATGTTAGAGGGGCTGGAGAAATAGCTAAGTGAATCAATTGCTTGCTGTGTATAAGGTCTGCAGTTCAGCACCCACATAAAAAGCTGGGCCCATATGGTGGCAGGTGCCCATTATCCCAGAACTGTGTCGTGGAGACAAGCAGATGTGGTAGTCTAGCAGGTTGGGTTCAGTGACACACCTTATCTCAAATAACAAGGTGGACGGGCTAGAGAGATTGAGTCAGCGGGCAAGAGAGCTTGCTCTTCTGAGGTCAAGATCTGTAAGTGTTCTGTCGATGAAGACACACAGGAAAACCCTGGTGAGTTCCCTCTGGCTGTTCCAACTTTTCTGGCTTCCCAGGAGTAATAAAACCTTAAGAAGTCTATCTCTAAGTTGGTTCCGAACCTTCCCCCCACCCCACCCCCTTCTCCTCACTAGCCCCCACTGGACCTTACATTCTTATCATCCGGGTTCATACTTACTACCCTGAGTTTTTCTGAGTCCCCATAGTTCCTCGACTATCTCCCATGGCAGCACACAAAATATAGGCTTATGTTGAATTCCTCCCAGAATGCAATTGTAGGCTTAAGACGGGCTAAAGATGGGCAAGGACAAACTGGCACACCATAAGATCACATTAACTTCCATATTCTAGAAGCCAAGGAACAAAAAATCTCCACCACAGATCCAAGTAGCCATACGGAGCAGATACAGAGACCTCAACAGCTTCCCTTGGAGTGGGAGTCTCTGGTGTCTAGTGCCCAAAACTGAGCAGAGTGCCAGCAGCACTCGGGAATCACTTCTTGAACTGAGATGGCTTTAATGTTTACAAAAACCCGAGATGGGGTGATGCGTTAGTTATCTCCCATTAAACACCAGAGGGAACTGGGGCTGAGAGCTCAAGAGATCTCAGGAGCTAATGCTGCGACCTCCACCCCCACCCCCACCCCCGACGTGACCGCCCGGACAGGCCGACAGGCCAGCAGCAGGTCTTCGCGGCGCTCTTTCCCCGGACGCGCTACCTGGAGCACACAGGCCGACTGCAGCAGACACGCGCCCAGGTCCTCCTTCACGCCCGCGCACGCGCCGCCCTCCGGCTTGTCCTCATAATACCGGGGCATGACTGCGCCCGCCGCCCTCACCACCCCGGATCACCGTCTTCGGTCACCGGGGAGCGCCCGGGCGGGCGGGAGCCACGCCCACGGACAGGCTCGAGGGTAAGAGAAGGCCTCAACGACTTCCGGCAGGCCCACCATAAAGACGCCGAGTCTTGAGGGTGTGCGCATGCGTGGCGGAAGTGTGTGATTGTGACGTAAATACGGGGCGCCGCAAATGCGGGCTACGTAGCGGTCGGGGAAGTAGCCCCAGCGGCGCCTGGCCTCGGCTGCCGGGCGAAGGTGGCAGTAATCCTGGGCCCAGGGCAAGGCAACACGGGCCTTCAGGTGAGGCCTGCTTTGTGGGAGCGGGGTGCCATTCGTGCTGACGGCCGTTTCCACGGACAGCTCGTGGCCTGGCGTCTCAGCGGCCGGGTTAGGGACCAGCTGGCTGCCGGCAGCTCAAGCCCTAGGCCCGCGATGGGTAATACCAAAGACGCCCATTTACGTTGGAATTGCAGAAATAGGACCTTTTTTTGTTCTCAGCAGGTCTGGAATTTTACACGGGAGACACATACCCCGAAACCCTTACGTTGCTTGTTCTTAGCTCAGATGTCACTGGGCCGTCTGTTTTTAGTTGACAGCGGACCCGCAGGCTTAGGGTAATGGAGAACCGCTGGCGGGACGGGGCGGGGCGCCGAGGTGTGCTGGCACCTGTGGACAGAGAGGCTGAGCGGAGGGTGGGGCGGTGACCAGTGCTCATTTAGCTTCGGACTAGTTTGACCGGACCCTGCGCGCTGTTATCCATCCTACCCAGCTATTCTGGGAGTAAAACCACCAAGGACTGGAATTTGCTTCTTTTTTATGTCACATTCTGAATAACCAGAAACTTGCTGGCTGTCGCTGATGGGCTTGTACGGATAAGCTGTGTGTTTTACCTTTTCAGTAACATTGCTTTCAGCTTAAACGAAGTTTTTTGTGGTTGCTGTTTTGTTTTCAATCTTGGCCATTAAAAACATGAAATTTTGAGTCAGAGTTCCAGTCTTTGTTCTGTGTCCATGAGGAGGTCACTTCATCCTCATTGTGCTTTTTCCTCATCAGCTAACACAGCTGTCAAAGGCTTGACTGAGGTGAAGGGTGGAAAACCGTGGACTCGAGATGAATGGTTTCAGGTGGTGCAGAAGAGCGTGGTACTGCCCTTGATGGAAGTGCAGTTAACACTTGCCAGCCCCTAAAGGAGCCCCCGAGCCAATCCATTGCTTCTGGCCCTCAATCCTTCCTGAAGGTAGCAGGAGAAAATGCACTCTGAAGACAGTTCAGTTCAGCCAGACAGTTCTTAAGATTATATCTAAGAGGAATGTTTTTATTCCATCCAGGAAGATGCTACCAAGTACTTCAGTGGGTTCTTCAATGCAAGGGAACGGAGTCTTGAATTCCAGGGATGCAGCGAGACACACAGCTGGAGCAAAACGCTACAAGTACCTCCGAAGGCTTTTTCGATTTCGGCAGATGGACTTTGAGTTTGCCGCATGGCAGATGCTCTACCTATTCACTTCCCCACAGAGGGTTTATAGAAACTTCCATTATCGGAAGCAAACAAAGGATCAATGGGCCAGAGATGACCCTGCTTTCTTGGTCCTCTTAAGTGTCTGGCTCTGTGGTAAGTGTGTGTTAGTTTACAAGCAGTGTAGTTGAGAAGCAAATGGGTATTTCAGAAGAAACTTAGAGTGTCTTTTGTGATAATGTATTATGGGTTAGAATTTGAGGGTATTTGAAGCTGTCTCTCCACTCCCCCATCCCGCTGTCTCTCCACTCCCCCATCCCAAAAACCTTAAAAAAAAAAGGAAAGTAATGTTCTTCCTGGTTCAGGCTGTAACACACAAGCCAGAGTTAACTCCTATATATTGGGACATTGAAAAGTAGGGGACAGGATTTACTCCAGAGTTTTTTGTTTTTTGTTTTTTGTTTTTTTTTTTTTTTTTGAGACAGGTTCTAAATGTGTGGGCCAGGCTGTCCTTGAACTCAAGATCTTCTTAACTCATACTCTTGAGTGCTGGCATTAACAAGCATATGCCACCACACTCGCTGACTTTAAAAAAAAAAACACAAAAACAAAAACCTAATGTGAACCTATACTGAAATGTGTGCAAAGAAATGTTAGAATGGGAAATTACATTTCATAATGGGGCAAATCTGTGAGGCTGGAAGAATGTAGTGGTGGTTTTATTTTGTTTTGTTGGCAGGGGGAGAGGCAGGGTGTTGGTAGGTCTAGGGATAGAAACCAGGGACTTAAACATGCCAGTCAAATGCTACACAGAGCTACACCCCAAGCTTTCAGAGTAAGAGTACTGAAGGTACTGATTTGTACTTGAAAAACCACCTCAAGTTCTCCTGTACATCAAGGAAGCATCCCAGTCAACTCTAGGGTACTGAAGTGTGTAAGTGCTTTTCACGTTTAACTGGGTTTAAAAACAAGTGGAGTGCCTTCTGCACAGGTGCTATTCTGAATACCCCGTTTGTCATGGTAAACTAGCGCAGGAGTCCTGTTCTACCTGCATTCAGAGGTGGTATTTATTTCTATATCATTTCATATAGCACATCTTGAGGGTTTTATTTCATTGTCCACATACCACCACTACACTTTGTCATATGAATGCCAGGGACTGTGTCTTATGTCCTAGAGCCTAACGGTGAATCTTGTAACTCTTTATTTCAGTGTCCACCATAGGATTTGGTTTTGTGCTTGACATGGGATTTTTTGAGACAATAAAGCTGCTCCTGTGGGTTGTATTCATAGATTGTGTAGGTGTTGGCCTTCTGATATCAACTTTAATGTGGTAAGTACCATAACTTGGTTTTTTGTATACTGCTGGGCCTCTGTTTGTTTACTTCAGTGGTATAGTAGCTAATGGAAATTCAAACAGAGTAGCGGAAGTGGTCAGATTGACTGCCAAGATTATTGTAACTTGGTCTCTTGTGTTTATACTAGATCAGAAAATACTTTAATGGGTGCTTATTGTCACTGCAGCAAAGCCCAGAATGGTTACATCCGGTTAAATCCTAAGTTTTCAAGATGATCATGTACGATTCTGCTTCTGTCTAGTTAGCTGTTTTCTGCATGTGCCAGTGGAGGCCACTTCCAGCTGCATAAGTGCTTTGGCAGTGTTTAGACCCATTTATGTCTGGAGGGTTATCCTTTGGACTTTTACTTTGCCATTGAGTCATTTGTGTTTGAAAAGGGTTTTGTTTTTAATGTAGCTCCTTCCTGATGCGAAGAAAGCCCATCCAGAGGTCTTCAAAGGCCCTCAGCCTGCTTCTTTCTGTCTGGGGTTAATTGAGCATCAGTAGTTTGGTGTTCAGCTTCTCACTTCTCTCACAGAGAATGCTCCTGTGTGGTTGGCTTCCAGGGTAAAAGGTAGTGGATGTAATAGGTGGACTACATAGAGAGTGAAGATTGAGGAGGAAGCAGAGAAAACTTGATGGACTGTTTTACTCTCAGGTGGAGGTCCCCATGCTATCAGTCATTGTTTAGTCTCCTTTATAAGTTGGAGTTGTTTCACTCGAGGTTGTTAGGGGTAGTCGGGATGATAGGCCCTTGATTCTTAGATGAGTGTTCAGTATATGGTAGCTGTTACTATTTTAAACAAAATGTCAAGGCAGTAACCTCTGAGACCAACCTTTTATTTTCCTTTGTAACTGTTGGTTTTATGGTTACTGGATAATGAATGCTATTATGTATCATTAATCTAAACTTCTAAGACCTGGCCTAAGATGAATACTGCTGATGTAAATCAGATACTCATTGTCAAGCAACTTGCAGGGGAAATACGTAGAGCTTCCAAGAACAGTTTCTTGCAAGTGTTCTGCTATGAGTACAGTGATTCTGGATGGGCACAAGGCAGCCTGGAGGTGATTACCTTTGGTTTATGTCTCTCCCATAGTTTGATCATGTAGAAAAGGACTCACTGTGTTGTTTGTGAGAACACAGGTGTCATAAACCTGTGAGGAGGTGGAAGTAGAAACAATGGCATCCCCCCAAAACACATTGCAAAGGTGTCATAGGAACCAACACAAGGCTGTGTTTTAGGGGAGATATGAGACACTTGATTCCTGGTTCCAGGATGTGCAAGTGCAGAGGCATGGTTATGTGCAGCATCATGGTAGGTCTGGGGACAGGTGACACTAAATGGCTATGAGGAAATGAGACCTACAAAATATCCTTGATGGAATTCAGAAAATGTTCATGACTGCAAGTGTGGGTTGGAGGGTAGAAGAGAAATGGAGAGCTAGGAAGCTGAGAATGAAGAAACTCTGTTGACACTGTTGAAAAAGTCTTCAACACAGCAGTGAAGCAGAGAAGTAGAGAAGCTGGCTCAAGTGAGAGAAGGGGATGCCCAGAACAAATGATGTGGTGGGAGGAGGAGGCGGAGAGAAGATTTAGAGCTTCCTGTGCTAACAGGATGTGAGAGCTAGGAAGTTAGGGCTTCGGAGACTGTGTGGTAAATGCCGGTGAAGCACTCTGCGCTGGCCCTGCTGAGTCAGGGAGCTGGGGGATGTTCACTGGAGAAGGTGGCAGGGAACACGAAAGCAGAGGACTGGAAACCTACAGACAGAAGTCTGGCCTGAGATGTGGCCGTCTTGGAGGTGGGAGAGAGCAGCCAGTTAATTGCCTTGACGCTCTCTAGGAAGGAATTTCTGTCCTATTTAAGGGGTGCATGGAGGTGCAGCAGAGGGTAGTGATTACACAAAAGAACTTCTGGGGAGTGAGCTGCATACTACGTACAATTCCTTTATCAGTCATAACTATTTTTAAATTTTATAATTTATGAAGTTCTGTGTGATAATTTGATTTATATATATAATGATCAAATCAAGGTAATTCGTTTCACCCCACATATTTACAACTTATTGGTGTTGGGAACCTTTGAAGTCCTAGCTCTTATAAAATGTCCAGCACCACTGTGCTGTGAGCATTAGAAAGCCTTGCTTCTATTTTGATAGCCACAGTCCGACCTCCGTCACCCCTACTTTCTTAGCATCTGGTGTCCATGATTCCATTTCCTGTTACTCTGAGGTCAGGTGTCTTTGTTGTTGTTGTGTTGATCTTTCCTTTCCTTGTTTGTTTCACTGACTTTGTGAAACTGAATGGGACATATTCTTGGCTAAAACAGTGTTTGGTGAATTAGTTTGTCCAAATGAAGCACTATTGGTTTGACTTTTTGGTAACTAAGTATAGGCTGTTTATTATATTCTGCCATGCTTTCTTGATTTAGTGTGTTTCTCTTGTTGTGCTGTTTAAATTAGGGACTCACACTATAGTCCAGGCTAGTCTAGAACTTAGCATGTAGCCCAAGCTGGCTTTAAACTAAAAATTGTCATGCCTTCACCACCTGCATGCTGGAATTACAAGCGTTCACCACCACAACCCGACCTGTTTTCTGTATTCAATATGTAAGACATTAAATTGAATTAAAATACAGTGACATCGACTCAACAGGTAAAGGCACTTGCCCAGTTTAATCCCTAGGATTCACATGTTAGAACACAGAGTTGTTCTCAGACTTCATGCTATGACACCTCCCCTCCATAAATAAACGTTATAATAATAAAAAATCGTGTTTAAAATCCATTAACATAAAAAGGACATTTTCACAGATGTTTATAGAGCAAAGGTCCTTTTCATTGAGGATCTGGACACGATAATTTTCTGGTAGGTCAAGTTGTAGAACAGCAATGGCAGCATGCACACACACTGTCTGGGTGTACCACTAGCCAGCCCCTTTCCCTCGTTTCCTCCAATTTCCCTCACTTTTAATGGTAAAGGCAGTTGATACCAGCCTTGACCATGAGTATTTACTGGGTTTTTTGTTTAGCTGGTTGTTATGGATGATGTCATCATTTTGGTGATGTTATTTAGGCCCGTGGCTTTCAATATCATCTACACACTACCTTAGACCTTTCCTTTCAACTACAGGCTTTGTATACAACTTAATCCATGTTGGTAATTAAGCACATTTGTCATAGCTAATCCCAAACCCAAATCTTGCCCTCTCCTTCCTTCTCAGAACCACTTTTGGTGCCACCAGCCTGTCCTTGGCTGATAGTGTTGCTGTCTTCCTCCTTGTTCAGGGCAAGACTGTTGGCTTCACCTTCAACATCACCTCCACTGTTACGTGATGCTAGCGACAGGCTATGGTCTTCTCGTCTGTTGACTCTGCTCTCTGAGTGGCCACCAAGGAGACCATCAAAACATTTCTTGCATCTTGACCCTGGCTTCTTTTACCATGAGTAAAAGATTGAAAAGTCACAAAGTAGCCGAAGAGCTATTTCCTCTGCATTTCCTTTGATTAGCTACCTGCTCTATTCCTTCCTTCTTCCAGGCACACACAGGCCTTCAGCTGTGACTGGCATCAGCAGTGCCTTGTTCTTCACCTAAATGTTGAGATTTAAAACTCGCACCTCAGCTTTGCACCTCTGCCGTTCTCCATAGCACCATGTCAGGCTTCTCCCACTAACGGGAAGGCAGAGACATCGGCCTGTTTCATTGTTCCATCTATAGAACTTTGGTAACGTGTGGCACCCCAAAGGTGGTTGGTACTGAGAGAACGAGTACATTGTGTGAGAAGTTCTCATTTTGCTCTCCAGGTTCATCTCCAACAAGTATCTAGTGAAACGCCAGAGCAGAGACTATGATGTGGAGTGGGGGTACGCCTTTGATGTACATCTGAATGCATTTTATCCACTCCTAGTCATTTTGCATTGTATCCAGCTCTTTTTCATCAACCGTAAGTATTTGTTTCTCAAATGTTCTCAAGGTTCTTATTATGTGAAGAGACTCACTATATGCATTTTTTTTCTGGCAGATGTTATCCTCACAGATACATTTATTGGATATTTAGTTGGAAATACCTTATGGTTGATTGCTGTTGGCTATTACATCTATGTAACCTTCCTGGGATACAGTGGTAAGTTACTTTTGGTGGTTTAAGAATGTAACAGGGAAGGGAATAGACATTAGCAGTGGATTTACAAGGCATTGACAGACATTATGGTTCACTCCATATGATCAATACCACAAGTAGAGTGGCATGTAACATTTGTTACAACCTTAAAGGAGCCATGCTAACTCACTACTTCCGAGTTCCAGGCCGAAGTCCTTGACTGTTCTCTTTCCTTGTGTGGATTCAGGCTCTGTGTTATTAACCATGGGCTAGGGAGGAAAAGGCATGGGCTCATGGTTAAAAACCTTTCTTTGCTTCTGTAGATGATCCTAGGGTCTGCTGATCCCAGGCCATATTTGCAAACTTATTGCTAAATCTGTTATTTTTTCTAATGTGAATGAAGAATACTCTTAGGCTGGGAGTGTGTGGAGTTCAGTAGAAAACCTGCCTACTATGTGCAAGGTCCTATGTTCAACCCCAGAATCCCCATTGCTGAAGTCTAGAGATCTGAAGATTGATCTCACAGAACCATCCACAGTATGGTTTGTTCAGCTCTTCTTTGCTGCTTTGGATGACTGGGACCTTACTGTAAATAGAAACAGCTCTTACCTCTGACTGTTCGTCACCCCATTACCAGTTTCCCAGGGATCACTTCATCTTCTACTTGCCTTTTCTGGGGGATTAGGGTTTTTCTAGGAAATTTTCACATTATCCTGACAGTGTTGTAATTCATGGCACTGAAGCACTGGTTCTCTTAGTGCCTAACAATTGCTGAGTAGTGTGTCTAAGAAGTGTATGTGGGGAACGGAGTTCAATTCCCAGCAAGCGCATGGTGACTCAGCTATCTGTAATGAGATAATCTGGTGTCCTCTTCTGGTGTGCAGGCAGAACACTGTATACATAATGGATCTTTAACTTCGTGTTTAGTTTAGTGCCTTAGCTCTTCCCCAGAGGTGGAGTTATCGATTAGACCTCCGTTGGAGATGTGTTGCTTTTGCAGTGGAGACACTCCAGTGCCTCAAAGTGATTTGGTCCCACGTGTGTCAGTGTATAAAATGCCATAATGAGATCCATTACCTCGCATACTAAGACTCCTAGGGTATCTGTCTAGATCGGCAGTTCTCATGGGTTATGACCCCTTTGGAGGTCTCATCAGACATCCTACATATCAGATATTTATGACTCATAACAGTAGCAAAATTAGTTATGAAACAGCAACGGAATAGTTTTATGGTTGAGAGTCACAACATGAGGAACTGTGTTAAAGGGCCGTAGCATTAGGAAGGTTGAGAACCACTGACAGTTGTGTTCATCCCTCTGCTCAGTTTCCCAGCGACCCTAAATGAGATGTATCTGTAGTTCTGCGAGCAGCATCATGGTCCTACGCAAATGTGTCCCTCCTCTGCCCGTGTGTGAAGCACCTTCTTTCAGCATGTTCATGTCACTCCTGTCCTTGTTTCTTTTCCAGCACTGCCATTTTTGAAAAACACAGTAATCCTGCTCTACCCATTCGCACCTCTGGTTGTGCTGTATGGACTGTCGCTGGCCCTGGGCTGGAACTTTACCCACATGCTGTGTTCCTTCTACAAGTACAGAGTGAAATGAAAAATGACCACAGCAGTGGAGCTCAACTGTCAGGTGTTGGGGAAGGGACAAGTTCTTGTAAAGTCTGTAAATTATCTTTGTAGATACCAAGTTTACAAATCTGAGGTGATACTAACACTATTGTCTAGACCATTCCTTAAAACTAACTAAATGTACATTTCTAATAAATATTTTTAAACTAAAGCATGTAATTATTTTTTTACTTAACCTGAAGCTACATATAAAATATCAAGGGCACAGTAAGGGGTAGATGTCACACACCATCTTGTTGGCAAGATGTACAGACTCACCTTTATACGCTTATTCAGCCCGCTCCCTGTGTGTATATGGCCGTGAATACCTGTGGAGATGACAGCCACTGTCTTAGCAGGGTGCCATGTTTCCCTTCTAAAGATTCAAGAGGAACCAGCAACTAGTTGAAAAACAGATTAAGTAAACACCCTAGTAATAGTGCTAAAAAAAAACCCTGTACATTTATTCAGTTTGAGCCATTTTTATTAGAAGGAATCTTGATTCAACATGGCTTTTCAAACTTCTTTATTTCAAATACACATGGACAGTTATAGCACAGAGACCATTATGAAAGGCACAGTCAACAGGACATTACTGGGTTTCAACAGAACATTAATAGCAAACTTGAAAATAAATAATCTGCCTTTAAAAATCCAACAGGTACCTCAAATATTACTGCAGCTATGAACTGTTCAACCCATGAAGACACTGTGAGCAAAGTATGTACAATACATTGGAGGAGGAGAAAAAGAAAACCTGGTAGAGCCTAGCAAAGAGGTTCCTTGGGCTGCTCCAAGAAACACCCCCCATGCAAAGACAGCCTTCTGGAGGAAGTGCTGCAGCTAAGCAGATTTTCCACTCCACTGGGGGAAACATGACGGTGAGTCTTAGTGGACTCTACACTGAGAGGAATCTGCTGCCAGCACTCCGGACAGTACTGTCCCAGCAGCCTTTTGTATGGCTCAGACCCTGCAGCTGCAGGTTTTACACCAAGCTGGAGCAAACACAGCATTTCCAATAAAGAATGAAATGCTAAGGACCCCCACGCTTTCATCCAGGGACCAAGTGCTAATTACTAGTCCAACTGTACTAGCAGCAGCCATAGGAAGTGGCCTCCTTAGCATCCCCAAGTGTTTAGCTGTCCCTACAACGAACCAGCTGTTCGTTGAGAGCAGCTGGAGCCCCACTGCATATTCCATCATGCTCACAGTGTGGCTCCCTACACACACGCTTCCCCCCCTCAAACTCAGGTTACTGTCTGACACTGGACACACAGGGTCACATGCTGCCTGCAATGAGTTCCTGCCTGCTTACTTGTTTTCACAGGAGCTTTTTTAGGTAGTGAAAAAACTCAGAAAGGGAGCATTTCAGAAACAAGGCTTCATTTAGCTAGTGATGGTACAGGGGCACGGGAAACAAAATCCTTGGTTTGGCTTCTTTGTAGGGGTTTTTTTTTTTTTTTTTTTTTTGGTCTTTGTAAAAGACTGGTCATCTTTTTAGCATTGTATGTTCACATGCATTAATTGAGCATATTTAGCATAGCATATATCTGTTAAGATTAATCATTTAAATCCTCACAACTATCAAAGTTTAAATTTTACAGGCTATAAGTGGTGTTACATAGCTTGGGAATGCCCTTTTCTAGAAAAGGACTGAGCTGGGACTTAAGATCCCTTACCATATGAAGATGACGACAACACAAGGCTGTGAGACCTGACAGTTTAACCTTCAACTCCTTCAGTTCTGCTCGTTTTCCTTCAAGGCTACGGCAGTATGGTAAAAAAATAATAAGCACAAATGAGTGAACCAAATAATAATAAACTTCGCTAGCAATGAATGGCTTGGAATCGGAAGTATTTTGGAAAGCATCTAAATACAAAGCCGTGGTTGGTACATCCAGGGTCTACGCTGTGCTAGCTAGCTATGAACTAAGTGATTTGTTAAAAATTACTTATCAGAGCCTAAGCTCTAGCAGGTATGTTCAGCCCATGGCCCAGGACAGCAATGAATGGCACAATACAAAATTGTAAACCTAAAACTTTGTAACATTTTCCTTTTCTGTTTGTGTAACTGGACGGTGGTGTTCTCGAGTGTGAACTCTGTAGATGACAGTGCCATGCTGTGGTGTCAGAAGGCTGGACATGCCTGGGAGTGAACATAAAGGCAGGGATTTTCTTCTTTTCAATCTGATCTAAAATACCAAGGTTCATCACTCTTTCAAGTACTTCTGACAGGCCCTTGAGTCCATGTACTTTAACCTCATCTAGGAGAAAAAGATGCTCCCACACCCACAGTCTCACCCTGGCAGCTGTTTCTCAAAACACAAATATAAATCTAACCTGTAGTGGAGATGGGGGTCTCTGGCACAGAACATTCCAGCTGAGACCCAGGAATGAGACTTGCTAGGAATGAGATTATTCTGTATGTCTATCAAAGAATATCAACAAGTAGGGCATGGTGATGCACATCAGCACTTGAGAGGCAGAACTGGGAGCATAAAAGTTCAAGGCCAGCCTGGGGTGCAAGGTGAGACCCTGTCTTTAAAAAAAAAGTAACCTACTGCAGGCAATCAAATATGAAGACTTCTCAGAACTGTCTTAAATTCCTTTTCTGTTGCTTGTTACAAAACACCACACATCTAGCCACGTAGAGCACCACCATTTATTATCTCACTGTTGTGCAAGGCTTTACCCGGGCTGTCTTACAAAGCTGCAGTAAAGGTGCTTGCCAGGCTGGCCTCTCACCTGAAGATGTCCATTTCCAAGCCTGGGGTAAGTGTGGGGGTGAAGTTGTCTGTGGAAAAAGAACTGCAGCTCCTACTTCCTCAGCTGGGAACAAGCTTCCAGTCATTAAGGCAGGCCACCTGCAGTCCTTCAGGGGGCCCCTTCCACGCAATGGTGTTTCGGAGTTCTGTTACTGCTTTCTCTCTCACTTCTACTAGCCTGAACCGGCTCACAAGATTGGCTCGGTCCCCCACAGATAACCTCCCTTTTGCTAAGTAACAAGACATGACCCTGGATCATGGTCGCAGCTCTTGCTACACTGAGAAGGGGGGGATATTCTCCAAGGTCATGGGAGGGGTCATTCTTAGAATCCTGCATACCACAAATACACACTATTAACTGGGATGACCTTCTGAACATACTCTTTCCACATAGCCACACTTTTTGAGGGATAGCACTGTTGAGAACTTTATTTTTCATGAGTATGAAAGACTAAAAAGAACTCTAGTCTACCACTTTCCTGACAGCTTTGTGAAATTTCAAAAACCACTGAGAACCTTTGTTCAAACACACCCTAATGGATGCATATATACACACACACACCTAGACTACAAGCTAAATTACCCATCTGCATTCGCTCTTTCTCATGCTTTTTAACCAAACATATCTCTTGAGGACACTGATACAATGCATGCTGGGAAAAATGGTAACACCATGCCAGGCAATCTTGGCCTTCTCACCAAAATACACACCTTTACCTGGACTATGATGAATCCACAGGTCAGCTTTCAATCACAGCAGCAGGATGCATTACTCCTTCTTTCTAGAATGTTCATATTTACACTCGACACCACAGTGGCTGGCAGAACCTCCCACCGTGATAACAATGTCCCATATTTCTCAGATACAATATGGTGGCTGCTGGCCACATGTGGCCACTGAGCTTGTGGGCACAGAACTCAACTTCAACAGCTGCCATGTGCTTAGTGCCTTCTGGAGAGGCCAGCACTACTCTAGAGTCTAATTTATCTGAAATACATACCAGAGGCCAACCACGGCCTATTTTATAGATAGAATTAGTACTGCATTTGGCACTTTTTCCACTCACTATTCAGGGAAAAGTGGGTTGGTGGCCTCTGAGGTATCATGTGTACACCTTGCAGTTGGAGGCACTCTGGCTTCCCCTCCTCTGAGCTTCGCTCTCACCAACCTCCAGGGCTCCCACTAAAACTTCCGGCTTGGGGAAAGCACATGTGCTGCGATTATCTAGTGCTGTCCTGGGCACAAAGGAGGGAGCGACGAACACTGAGGGTCAGATGAGCGAGCACCTGCTGTGGCGGAAGACAGGAGAGCTGGCCTCCAGAGCATGGGGTGTGTCCGAGAACACACAAAGGAAAACTAGACACTGAGTGTGTGTGCACGTGTGTGCCCATGCATGGCAAGGATGGCAGGCAAACATAGCTAAGAGAGAAATAACCCACTCAGATGCCAAGAGAGCCTGCCAAGGCCCAGACATGTTCTAGGCACTGGGAACAAGCTCATGGAGAAAAGCGAGAGATTCCCTGAATGAAGGAAAAGACTTGGCTACAAAGGTCCCTAGTAGCAAGAGGGATGAGTGGAGTTTGAGTGAGAAGATGTGCACAAAGAGTCATGTAGGGGACATTCAAATGGTGGCAGGGGTTGCATTAGGCTCCCGCTAGATTTTCAACCAGAGCCCTCAGGGAGCCCTGGTGCCCATCTGCATGGTCTCACCATCTGTGACGCTGCTGCTTTAGCGGTCATTTAGTGTGTGAAGATAATGCTCAAATTTTATAATGAAAAGGTATTCCTCTTTTCAAAGGAATTTGCTTGTGTCTTAGGAAACGGGCTTAAGAAATCAGAGAAGAAAATTAAAAGTTGAAGGAAATGAGAGGGAAATTTACAAAACCCCAAGAAAAACTTCAGCTGGGCTTTGACACAGAGCACAGTAGTATTTAAAATCTGTATTTTCCCAGTCAGAACACGGCATGCAAAATAGCTGTTTAGTGCTATGTGTCCCATCCACTAGGCAACTAAGAAAGCTCCAGGCTGGAGGCCACCAGCTAGGACCTCCCACAGCTCCAGGCCTCTACCACATCTGCTGGACATCTGCAGCCCCTGGATCACCAGAGTAGACTGGCTCAGCCTTCCTAACTGTAAAGCACTTTCACAAGCTGGTCCTGTGTGGGACCACAGGGCAAGGAGGCATAAGCACTCTGTGGACACAGCATTTACTTCCAGGTTCATGATACAGTAGAGCAAATCATTCCATGGAAACATACAAACGCTACAATTACCTTTCACCAGAGCCCCACAGTACAGTTTTGGTTTTAAAATTATACCCATTATGATTCACACAACAGCATTACCTAGAAAACAATGTCTGAACTCCAAAACCTAACACGGGGGGTATAAAAGGACAAAAGAGAC